CGTCCCAAGCTACTATTATTAGTACTACTTAGTTCTACATCAAAGGCCTTTCCCTTTTTTCCCTTTATTTCCATGGATTATATAACATAATTTCTATTTTCTTGGGTAATATTGTATTCAGGTCTTGTCATATCTATCTAGTATTTCGGAGATAGGTACCCCGCATACAGTGTAAGGTAGCCCTTCCGTATTACCATGCAGCAAGTGTATCAGTCAACCCTCCCTCGCCATTACAATCTATGGAATGAGGAACAGAAGTAGAAATAGATTTTGGGGCTTATAATACTTATTAGTTAGGGACTAAGCATGATGGCTACAATGATACTCTATCTAATGAGTTGTAAATTGTCCTGGGATGTACTGGCATTGATCATTGGCTAGACTTCTCTGAGGGCAGCGCCGAAATCGCAGTTGACTCATTAGAATTAGTACGAACTACTAGTTAACTAGTAGTTACTTATTGTCCTGACAAGTTTTCTTCACCATCCGCCACCTTGCTAACATTCTTTACACTACGTACCTTCTTTTGTCCGCCTCTGTTCTTACTGTCTTCGATATAGTGCCGTTTCCTTTGTGCTACAATGATACAAGACATCGGAGGCCCAGTCCCTCCTCACACTGATCACGTATGTTCTAACCCCGCCCAACCCCGCCCAGCTTCTATTCACCACCCTTTTAGTTTTTGTCTCGGTCGCCATCTTGGCTCGGACGAGCTGCGCAAGGCTTAGAAGCTATTTTAAATCACATTTGGGCTTTACTCACATCCTCATAGGCAGTCAGTGTATCCCTTCCAACATGGAAAGCGAATGTTGCATACGAGGAAGGAGAGTCATGGGTTGTGAATAAGATGCAATGCGGTTATCCTCGGTTCTTTATACACCCCATCATACAGGATCTGGCGAGGGAGATCGTACGTCGCTATGGAAGCCCAGAATTGGAAACGGCTATACTATTCCCTTCCCTCAAAACATCAGGGGTCTGCTATTCATTTCTCAAATCGAAAATACAAGCCGAGGAACCCTGCAATGTCCGGACAATACATTTTGCCCTTCCCATTCAGGGCGAAGACGCGCCGTCTGGTACAGACTTGATACTATCGTGTGTGATATATCCCATCCAATACGCGCCAATCGCCAAGCAGGTCTGGCAACATACAGGAAATGGAATCTCAAGTAGACGTGCTGAGTTTTGCCTGAACGCTTTAAGGGATGGGTCTCTCGTGGAAAGGAAACCTGTAGCTCAAAGTATTGCATCGCCACGGTTTTTCAAGGGGCCCAGGAGGTATCAGGGTCGAGAGTCCATAAGTGGAAAGTCACAGGGAAATGGGACGCACGCACGCGACAGTACTACAGGTACAATTACGACAACCAGCAGCATGCAAGATGGCCGCGAACATGTCCAGTTCATTGAAGAACGATTCGGTCGGAATCTAAGCACCTCGCTGGCCGGTCAGGCAAGGCTGGCTGTACGGCGACGCATTGCGGGCGTTTTGACAGCCGATGTGGAGCTAAACGAGGCCCTTGAAGAAGAGTCAGGAGAAGGACGTGTCGCGGGGCTGACAGAGTCCGATGTTTTTCTCTTTCCGACCGGCATGAGTTCCATCTTCAACGCACATCAGATGTTGATGGTTGCGAAGGGAGATATGAAGAGCATCTGCTTTGGATTTCCCTACACCGACACCCTAAAGATACTTCAAAAATGGGGCCCGGGCTGTTTGTTCTATGGTCATGGCTCTTCGGAGGATCTTGATGACCTGGAGTCAAGGCTACTGAAAGGAGAGAGATTCCTCGCTCTATTTACTGAATTTCCGGGCAATCCGTTACTGAAAGCCCCTGATTTGAAGAGGATCCGATCACTCGCCGACAGGTATAACTTCGCTGTTGTAGTAGATGAGACGGTTGGGAATTTCCTCAACATCAATGTGCTTCCCTATGCAGATATTGTGGTAAGCAGCTTGACCAAGATCTTCAGTGGTGACAGTAATGTTATGGGAGGGAGTGCAGTACTTAACCCCCATGGGCATCATTACGGTTCTCTAAAAGATATATTTGCACGCGAATATGAGGACAATCTTTGGGCAGAAGATGCCGTGTTCCTCGAAAGGAATAGCCGCGATTTCATATCCAGAATTGATAAGATCAATAAGACTACAGAAGACATCACAGCGATGTTGGAGGACTCTCCACTCGGTAAGCTAACAATCAAATCCCTTCGATGTTGGACTATTGGGTGCCATTGCTCGATGTACCTGCCCAAAGCGTTCAATGCTAACTGACTTGCAGTGAAAAAGGTCTACTATCCGAAGTACAACTCTTCAAGACCCTTGTATGAAGCATTCCGCAACAAAAATGGAGGATATGGCGGTCTATTTTCGGTTACATTTCATTCAACGGCAGCGGCAGTTGCTTTCTTTGATCAACTCGAAGTACTCAAAGGACCTAGTCTCGGTACTAATTTTACACTGAGGTAGGTCATTATCATGGCAGGAAAATGGGCGACAAGCCTGTTAACATTGATGCAGTTGCCCTTACACTCTGTTGGCGCACTATGGTGAACTAGAATGGGTATGTCAACCTCTCCGATCCCCGACACGGCATAAACTTCGCTTTTAGTTGGGTATAGACTCATGCTTTCCATCATTTAGGCAAGCTCATTTGGTGTCGACTTTGACCTAGTAAGGATAAGTGTCGGCTTAGAAGATGTTTCGGATCTTCGCCAGCGATTCCAGCAAGCTTTGAATGCTGTCGCTGAAGTAAACACATGATGCAGGCTTCCTGGAAAGAGCGTTTATAGACTTACGAAAGCATGCATCATATGACCTACATAACATGCGACTTTCATGCCAAAGCTTTTCGGGTGACTACATATTTAATGGACTGCCTGGTAGCTTGGTGAAAGAGAGTACTGAACTTCCAAGGGCCTATCACAGCCAATGAGCCATGGCTTGAGGTTCCAGAAATTAGCCCAGTACCGCGATGAATATTTTGCCCTATTAACTTTTCACTCGTGTTCCAATTATCTATCAAGCCAACAACCACTCTCCGATTGTTGTATCTGTGGACCCTTAGACTAGAGACCCTTTGACAACCAAATACAAATTATCTGCACGACATCCATGTCCGTGCCTACGTGTCCCCGTGATCACTGACGCTTAAGAGTACAGTGTACTAGCGTGCCTGATAGCCTACAAATACAAATATTAAGGGCCCAAGTAGCTGGGCAAACTTGCGGGAAACCATAGGTGATTGATCTGCTTAGTTGCCTTCATGATAAGAAGCAGCTATAAGCTAAACCAGCTGGTGCACCCAGTGCTCCGAATTGCTTTCGAGGTTATTTTAAAGAACAGCGATAATTATAAAGATAATCAGGACAAAGACTCTAATAACAATAACGGCTGAAAAGCGAAGACTAAACGGTGTAAATAGGTCTGTACCCAAGTTTCTCTACATGATCAGTTAGGCTAGTGCGGCGCCAGAGTCACGAGACTAGCAGTTCGGAAAAAGTCGACTTCCCCAATTTCGTCCGGTACCTCCCCTACAAACCTCTACTTGGCTATGTCTAATTAATCTTAGGCTTTTGGCATCTTCTCGTATGTGTTCCACTTTAGCACTTCTTATGTGCTGTATATTTATGTTAAATCAATGATTTACTAATTACTCACTTCTGCTTCCTTGCACTAGGTACCATCTGACGGCCACCTCTTCCTCCAGCTGTAGCTGCTTACTTGCTATCATCTCAGAGCCGAGAAGACTGAGATTGGTCGCGATGGCGAATTGCCTTGCAGCTCCTAGGCGGCCTCTTCTGGCACTGCCATTCCTTCTGCCCTCTCCTTACGAGTGCGTCACCCTAGGTTTGCGACGCAATCAGTCTTCATACAGGCGCACAAAGCAGCGTCTACGTGTCAAGCCAGATGCCTCATTTGGCTCTTCTGTGAGCCATTCTCAAGAGGATCATATCATCTACAACCCACCGTCAAGTGCGCCGTCAGTTTACCACACGCCCACTAAATTCTTGCCCTCTGATGATATCCGGAGAAATTTGCGCAACGCGTCTGTCAAGGGTAGCAACGCCGAATCCCTTCCCCTCGCAGCCAAAGTGACCACCGAGAAAAAATACCATCTAAACCCATCAGATATAAGAGAGATTCGCAGGCTCAGGGCCACTGATCCGATGACATGGAGTCGGTTGAAGTTGGCCAAGCGCTTCGACTGTTCCCCAATGTTTATTGCAATGGTCTGTGAGGCTAGTCCAGAGAAGAAGGACATCCAAAAGCGAATTCTGGAAGCTGTGCAATCAAGATGGGGATCGAAACGTCGGATGGCCAGAGAAGACCGACAGCTGCGGAAGGAGACATGGGGAAGGGATCAGTAAAGCCACAATCAGCTATTATTTTCCCCCACTTGTCTTTACCTCAATCATATTTTCTGTCACGCACCGCCTTACTTTCGATTGGGTGTACCAAAGAGACTTGTTCGCTTGCGAACATGCATCGAGGAAGCTCAACATTTGTATAAAATCATGTATTCTAGCGTTGTCACTCTTGGGAAATGAAATGTATTTTAGAAGATTGGCTGTGTTATTGGCTTTGTTTCTCTTTTTCACCTTTCAGTAGCGCCCACATTCGCCTGGTTCTTATCGAGGTTAGATGCTCATTAATGGCTATGGGCGCTTATTTGCGCTCCGGAACGGTAACCTTCCTAGTACCAAGCCGAGGTGGGCAGGACGGACAACCAACCGAATGATAGCGAGGATACTGTTAGGTAAACCTGTGTCAACCCAACAAGCAAATCAGGTTACTTCCATTATCTTCCACAGCACAAATGCCCCTCCCCCTCCGTCGCATTGCAACATCGCTTAGCTGGAGGGAGTGCAGATTATATCTGTCATCATCACCTGCGCACTTCAAGGATATCCGGGCGCCTCGAATATCTTCCATTCAACACCAAATACGCTATCTATCTTCACGCCGCTCATTTTACGGAAACATCAGTGATCCGAAAATGGCACCGCAACTTGAACCTTTCTTCAAGCAGTAAGCCACCTTCATTTTACTCGTCCTTTTTTTTTTTGTCATTGCTGGTTTTGCTTCTACTTTGGCCGTTTCCTTCCTTGGCATATGCTATTACTATGGTCCGCTGGCTGACATGATTTGGGTGACCATCTGCACAGGGTCGACGATTTGTCGGGCTCTTTCATTGACCGTACGTCACGCTCTCCCAAACTCCTGCTGTGGAGGATACATCCTCAAATAACTCAAAAGGTCTACGAAAGGCTGTCGCTATCCCATCTATTTCCGCACAGGATGAGAATAGAAAGGATGTCTTCAAGGTGTGTACTGCAACCTGACTCAGCCCTCATCACTACTAAACTAATCCCTCATTTTTTCCCCATCAGATGGCCCAGTTTCTTGCTTCCGAGCTTGAGAACTTGGGTGCCGAAGTGGAACAGAGACCGTTAGGTAAACAACCTGGAAAAGAGCACCTAGATCTTCCCCCGGTTGTGCTTGCTCGTTATGGTAATGACAAGAGCAAGCGAACCATCCTGGTCTATGGGCACTATGACGTGCAGCCGGCTTTGAAAGAAGATGGCTGGGCGACAGAGCCTTTCGAGTTGACCGTCGATGATCAGGGAAGAATGTACGGGCGCGGAAGCACGGACGATAAAGGTCCCGTCCTCGGCTGGCTGAATGTTATTGAAGCTCATAAAAGGGCTGGTGTTGAGTTCCCGGTCAATCTGCTCTGTTGCTTTGAGGGGATGGAGGAGTATGGCTCAGAAGGTTTGGAAGAGTTCATTCAAACCGAGGGCAAGGAATTTTTCAAAGATGCAGATGCCGTTTGCATCTCGGACAACTATTGGCTTGGGACCGAAAAGCCTTGCTTGACCTACGGGCTCCGAGGCTGCAACTACTACTCCGTGAGCATTTCGGGCCCTGGTCAGGACTTGCATAGCGGGGTCTTTGGTGGCACAGCCCACGAGCCGATGACTGATCTGGTTCATGTGCTTTCTAAACTTGTCGATTCGCAGGGAAATATCCTGATCCCTGGAATCATGGACCTTGTTGAGCCCCTTACGGAGGAAGAAAAATCCCTATACCCTGGCATCAACTACACTATGGATAATCTTCACGAGTCACTGGGCAGCGAGACAAGCATTCATTCCACCAAGGAGAGAACTCTCATGGCAAGATGGAGGTACCCGTCTCTTTCTCTCCATGGCATTGAGGGCGCATACTCTGCTCCTGGCGCGAAGACAGTAATTCCAGCTAAGGTCATCGGCAAGTTCTCAATCCGAACTGTGCCGAATATGGAAAGTGAGGACGTGAACAAACTCGTCTTCGACTATGTCAAGGCAGAGTTCGCCAAATTGAACAGCAAGAACACATTGAACGTGTGGCTCCAGCATGATGGAAAGTGGTGGGTTGCCAGTCCGAAGCATTGGAACTTCTCAGCTGCAAGCAAAGCCGTGAAACAGGTTTTTGGTGTTGAGCCGGATATGACCCGTGAGGGTGGCAGGTATGTCTTCTGATTCATACTCGCCATCTGTTACACTGCTTCAGATACTTTGAGACTGATATCCATATAGTATCCCTGTCACACTAAGCTTCGAGCAAGCTACAGGCAAGAATGTCCTCCTCCTACCTATGGGAAGCTCGACTGATGCTGCTCATTCGATCAACGAGAAGCTCGATAAGAGGAATTATATTGAAGGAATCAAGTTGCTGGGAGCGTATTTGCATTACGTTGCGGAGGAGCCTATGGACATCTGACCGTATGACACTTTGGAGACCTTCGCAGTCGCTTAAGTCTACGTCACCCCTCTCACTCACAGTGTGAGAATATCCGGTGGATGACTTGTCCTCTTCCAGTGGGACCTCGAAGGTACCTGGGGCCTCATGGCATACATTGAAGCTTGCAGCTCTCTTCATAGTACCTAGGGATGCTTCGTCCCAGTATGAGTCATATCATTTGGATGAAGGACACTGTAGCATCGCAAATTCCAAGATATTCGCATAATCACTAGAGGCAATGATCACCAGTTGTTCTTTTGCATCAAAGCAATGGCAAGGTATACAGCGTACGTAGGCAAGATGGTAATTTATGCCCCAAAAGAGCTGCATCAAATACCTTCTTGGAAGTTAGCAAGCAGCGAGCTCCGTAAGACAACATCAACCGCAGGGTGGGGATATTTGCGGTGTTGTTCCTTTCAGTCTTCTCCCGAAGGAGCCTTAATTGGATTTCTTTCATGTCACGTGTAATGACGACGCGCGACGACGCGACTTATCAATATCCGATAAGACTCCAACACGAAACAAAGATGGGCACAGTTCTTTCGGCTTCAGCGGCCAAGCCACCAAGTAGTGAATGAAAGGAGCAATCTGGTTCTTTGTCGACCGTTTCATTTAATCTTGAACATTCTCTCGTCTCCCCTTTCTATTCAAATTATATGCTATGGCCAGTTGTAATCCCCATATTTCAGCCGCCTTTCCTCGATGCCGTCAATGAAACGCTCTCAAACGTCCCTAGAGCCTTCGGACTCGGACGATGAAAATACTAGCGGCTACTCGACTTCGGTATGTGGCAGTCTTAACGTATAAGTAAGGCCGCTAACCTGGACGAACTAGCCAAAACGCCTCCGTAGGACTAACAGTCCTCTTTCAGAGGGGAGCGCGGTGGACAGAAATGATGGTGATGAAGAATCAAGAGTCCGATCCCTTACGCAGGCTCTTGATGATGACGATGAGGATGAACTTGAGTTACGGGCTACCCAGGTCATCCAAGAAAAATATTCGTTTGCTACTGATGAACCAAATATACCTGCCGAGCATGGCATATTGGAGCGTGTTGAGTGTTACAATTTCATGTGCCATGACCATTTTTATGTTGATCTAGGCCCTCTAATCAACTTTATCGTGGGCAAAAATGGTAGCGGCAAGAGTGCAGTCCTCACGGCCATTACTCTTTGCTTAGGGGGTAAGGCATCTACTACCAATCGAGGCCAGAGTCTAAAAAGCTTCATCAAGGAAGGCAAAGAGTAAGCGATACCCGAACCCTCTCGTGAATAGTTCTAATGTTGCAGTGAAGGCATGCAACCATTGTTGTGCGAATCAAGAACCAAGGAGATGGCGCTTATATGCCAGATGATTATGGCAAGTTTATCACTATAGAACGCCACTTCTCCAGAAATGGCACAAGTGGGTTCAAGATAAGATCAGAAAATGGCCGTATCATGTCCAGCAAGAAGTCAGAGCTCGATGCCATCATTGACTATTTCACCCTGCAATTCGACAACCCAATGAATGTCCTCTCCCAGGATATGGCCCGCCAATTCATCGGCTCATCAAGTCCTAGTGAGAAATACAAGTTTTTTGTGAAGGGCGTCCAACTCGAGCAGCTCGATCAAGATTATCGGTTAATTGAGGAATCCGGTGACCAAATCGAGGAGAAACTGAGGGGCCGGGAACAGGATATAGCGATATTGCAAAGTAGGAAGGAAACTGCGAAACGAAAGCTTGATATTTCCAACCAACATGACTCCCTGCGGAACCGGATCAGGAATGTTCGAAATCAAATGGCTTGGGCTCAGGTGGAGGAACAAGAAAGGGTATCCTTATATCTTCCCAAATCATCCATTACGTTTCTGACAGCCAACAGATAAGGGACTCTTTAGACGAAGAACTTCTTGCGGCAGACAACCAGATCGCAGCTGACGAAGCTGATTTGACCAATTTTGATGTTACTATTAACGCGGCTGCAGCTGAGCTTGAGGCCGCCGCGGGATCTGTTCGCCAAGCTAATGCGAAGCGAGGCCAGGTCCAAGATGAGAAAGACGAAATCCAAGCGAGGTGGGATGCGCAAATGACTGAGCGTCATGGACTGCAGGTATGATTTATAAACACCTTGCATTCACATGAAGAGCTTTTTAATGTTATCTCTAGGCCGAACAACGCCGGATCAGAGAATATCTCAAGGCAGCAGAAGAAAGAATAGCTACTACTCAACGGAGTATTGACGAAGAGAACCGGCGTTTAGCCGAGATTAGCGGCGGTAGCTTTACTCGAAAGCAGGAGGAACTTGAGCGAGCAAAAGAAGAAGCCTCCCAAGCCCGTGCTCAGTATGAGGAACATAGTAGCGACCGTGACCGTCTATTCCATGACATAAACGAGGCTGAAGAAAAAGTTCGGGAGGCCGAAGGGCCAGTCGATAAAATCAGGGCCGATGTCAAGGAGGCTGAATCGCTTTTGTCAACCCTGGAAAGGGAAGGGGGTCCACAGAATTCTGGGTTTCACGAGAGAATGCCATTCCTTTTGAGAGCCATTGAACAAGAACGTTCCTTTACTAATCGTCCTGTCGGGCCTCTTGGTCATTACGTGCGCCTGCTCAAGCCAGAGTGGTCTTCGATTCTTGAGAACGCATTCGGCACCACGCTGAACAGCTTTGTGGTAACTTCACCCAGGGACTCGAAGATTCTCTTCCAGATCATGAGGAGAGTTAACTGGTGAGTTTTCTATCTTCGTCACAAACTTGATACCTCTGACACTGCCGAAAGTGAGTGCCCTGTTCTGATAGGGAGTGATAAACACATCAATACTTCAGGCAATGAACCTGATTCTCAGTACGATACAGCCTTGCGGGTCCTTGAGGTGAGGAACTTCTATAAGCGCCATCATGGGGAGTCTGGTCGGACTAATTCGCTTTTAGTTTGATAACGAGTGGGTTCGTGGACAGTTGATCATCAACCATCATATAGAAAAGATGCTGCTTATTGAGAACTTGGAAGAAGCATCTTCTGTTCTCTTTGATGGGCAACAGCCTAGAAACGTTAAACGTTGTTATTGCATTGACCAAACAAACAGACGCAGGGGTATTCATCTTTCTTTTAGCAGGACTGGTGAACCAAGCCAAGCACCAGTCCCAGCCTACAAGGGGTCTCCGCGAATGAGGTCTGATCGGGAATCTCAAATTAAGTGAATAATATCTATCGTTCTACAAGGCCCCCTGCTAGTGCTAACAACTTCTTTAGGGTACAGCAGAGTGTCGTGGCAGATCTAAAGCAGGACCTTAGCCGTCACGAACAAGAGCTTCGGTCTGCTCGGTCTCGGCTGGAAAGCTGCAAGCAAGCCCGTCAAAAACACGACCGAAGGTCAAACGAACTAAGAATTGTAGCACAGAGAATGGAAGACCGTGTCGAAGAGTTGATGGAGGCGCTTGACAGGGAGGCTCCCGAGGATGGGCGCCTCGACGGGCTTCGGACCACACTGCAAGAGGCAGAAGAGGAAAGGCACCTTAATGAAGGATCTTTAAATGACGCCACCGATGCTATGGAGGCCATGATGAAAAAACTGAAAGCAATCAAGCAAGAGCTCGCGGCCAAAGACGCTGAGATTGCCATCGTACAGGAAGAGCTCAAAGTTGCTCAGGATGCGGAACGCAAGGCTGATGAAGAGCGCCGAAAGAGGATAAATGATAAGAACGCAGCAGCAGAAAGAATCGAGGATCGCAAGCGGAACAGAGATAGAGTCAAGAACAAGCGAGATGAGATCGCGGTACGTATCGTTGACTTCAGCGAAAAGGCAAATATAATCTGTGACCGAGTTGCCATCGAGGAAGGTGAAACAGCGGCTAGTCTGGACAGAAAACTCGAACGACTTCACAACGACATCAAGCGCTACGAGCAACAGTCAGTATAATCATATGTCTACAAGTATGAAGCGCTAATCATTGCGTAGGTTGGGAGCATCTCGCGACGAGTTACTTGCTGAGGTCACAAAGGCTAGCGAAGCCTATGATCGAGCTTTGAAGCAAGTAGAGGAGTTTAGGTTGTTGGCCGAAGTACGTACAGACCTCTCCCCTTCTCCCCATGAAACATCCAGTTGCTGACATAAAAGCAAGGTTCTGAAGGCGACACTGAATGTCCGCAAAAACCGCTGGCTAATTTTTAGATCACACATTTCATCCCGTGCCAAGGCACAATTCACTTACCTTCTGAGTGAAAGAAGCTTCAGAGGTCGGCTTCTGACCGATCATGAGGGCAAGCTTCTGGACTTACAAGTATGTTTGCTCTTGGCCGTCATTGTTGCTACAGTACTCTGACAGCGCTTCATAGGTGGAACCGGACATCACAAAAGACAGCGCTGGTCGTGGTGCGAAGACACTTTCTGGCGGCGAGAAGTCATTTTCTCAAGTATGTCTGTTATTGGCATTGTGGGAGGCTATGGGGTCTCCAATTCGTTGCTTAGATGAATTGTAAGTTATCCAGAACCTTCAACAAGTCCTGTAGCTGACACGAATTCTCTAGCGATGTGTATATGGATCACATTAACAGGAAGATGGCTATCGATATGCTTGTATGTCGGACTTATCACGCTCAATCTGTACGTGCTAACGGGCCTATAAGATGCTAGCTGCCAGACGGTCGATAGGACGGCAATTCATTCTTATTACCCCCGGGTCAAGATCAGAAATTACCCTGGCGCCTGACGTCTGTGTAAAGGAGTACGTCTGTGAACGAGATTACTTGAACTGCAGCTAACATGTTCCCTATAGGTTGGCGGAGCCCGAGAGGGGTCAGACAAGACTAACGTTTTCACGGTAATTCAGTGGCTGTTGCATCACTGGACTTCATTTCCTATTCTATTCTCACCCAGACTATCCATTCTCTGTCCCTTTTTTGAGGAGGGGGGGTGTGCGGGGCGCTTTGGTCCGTTTCCTTCAACCTCACTGCATATCCTCTTTATGCATCAACGGTTTTCATCTATTTTCTATAGTCCTTTCATGCAGTAACCAGTTCCCCTCGTTCTTCTTGCGGGCCATAGGATAAGACCGGGAAAATTATGGCCTGGGCACGGTATACTGCCGCATTTGCTATACTTGAGACACTATATGGAGGGATAAGACCGTCTTCCGCAGTGGGAGAAAATCAAAATCCGTGTCTCACTAGCAGAATCTTTGAAAACCCGGGGTTAGGCAATATGTCAAGCCTAGAGCCTTGACAAATTGATGAACGATAGTAGATGAAATATCTAAGCAGTTGCTAGCCTAGATAAGAACTCAAGATTTCAATGTATTGAACCCGGCGTTGTAAAGCAGCCCAATGTTAGTAGAGTCGGTCTTTGCGGTGTGGAGTAACTAGTAGTTACCGCCTACGTATGTGCCTAGGTACCTTAAGTAAGACTGCCACATGACCCGTGCTGCGGAAGCTGCTGTTCCGTATTTATGTGTATGATGCGTATTATTCACCACTCCCACCACCACATTGAAGTTTTCCATCCTCTTTCCACTTCACTTTCTACGATAAGCCATTCGCCTTTCACTCTGTGCGAGTCAAATCCGTCACATAAAATTCCTCAAACCCAATCCAACACCTAATCTTAGGATCGGCTACCCATACGTCCGAATTGTTCGAATCGCAGCCCACATCCGTGGCACCCACCCAGTTCTGTCTTCCCGAGTTTCGTTCCTGACGTCCAACCAAACGGCCCGCACACAGGCACTTCACATCAAGTCGCTGTCAAGTTTCCAGTTGACGATTCAATCATCAGAGGCCCCTCAAATACACCCTTGTCTCTTTTATCTCTAAGCATAGCTCTTTTCGTCCTCATTCGGCTCCGAGCGGCCTCATTATATTGGGAACGGAAGCACAATCTTTGCATCCGGCCAACTCATTCACCTCACCACCTTGTGTTGTCCACCCGACTTCCGGTCTTCTCGAAGATAGGATTTCCCAACATTAAGTACTTTGATTTATACCATTTCCCTCGTGAGATCACACAGGCTAATGTATTTCAGACTTGGATCGAGCTAGTAATCATCACTGTCTGTCCCATCGCATTTGAGTGTTCCGCAACATATATTTGGAGGAAGAACAAGCAACCTACCCCACCTGAATTCCAATATTACCTCTTTCTACACCTGATCACCATGACCGACGCCTTGGCCTCTCAGCTGAATAACACTACTTTAGGGTACATTCACCGTCACACGCTGGTTTATCCATATGATGAGGCTAACTTGAACACTTCGAAGGGATGCGAGCTCAGACGCGAAGTGGAAGGAGCAATTGAATGTCCCTGCCAAAGATGCAAGACCACAAACTGAGGTTCGTCTGAATCATGAACAATGGGTATGGATGTTGATTGCAATCTAATGCGGCTTAGGATGTGACTGCTACGAAAGGCTTGGAATTCGAAGACTTCTACATCAAACGCGAACTGATGATGGGTATATTCGAAGCTGGTTTCGAAAAGCCTTCTCCAATTCAGGAAGAGACGATACCAGTCGCTCTTACAGGCAGGGATATCTTGGCGCGAGCCAAGAATGGCACGGGAAAAACAGCAGCTTTCGTTATTCCTACCTTGGAGCGCATCAATCCTAAAAGCACCAAGACACAAGCCCTTATCCTTGTTCCTACAAGAGAGCTGGCGCTCCAAACGTCACATGTCTGCAAAACTTTGGGAAAGCACCTCGGTATCAATGTTATGGTCACCACAGGAGGTACCGGCTTGATGGATGACATTATTCGGCTGAACGACGCAGTCCATATCCTCGTTGGAACCCCAGGGAGAGTCCTGGACCTGGCCAGCAAAGGGGTTGCTGACCTCTCCGAGTGTCCTACATTTGTTATGGACGAGGCTGATAAGTTGCTGTCACCTGAATTTACTCCAGTCATCGAGCAACTACTATCATTCCATCCTAAAGACCGCCAAGTAATGCTTTTCAGCGCCACCTTCCCGCTTATTGTGAAGTCATTCAAGGTATGCTCCGTGCATGGAGATATCAATCACATGGATGCTGATATTCTTAGGACAAACACATGCGCAATCCGTACGAGATCAATCTCATGGACGAGCTCACTCTCCGTGGAATCACGCAGTATTATGCCTTTGTTGAGGAAAAGCAGAAGGTCCACTGCTTGAACACACTCTTCTCCAAGTTACAAATCAATCAATCTATTATCTTCTGCAATTCTACCAACCGTGTCGAGTTGCTCGCTAAGAAGATAACGGAACTGGGTTATTCTTGCTTCTACTCCCATGCCAGAATGCTTCAGCAGCATCGCAATCGGGTGTTCCACGACTTCAGGAATGGTGTTTGCCGGAACCTTGTTTGCTCGGATTTGTTAACTCGAGGTATTGACATTCAAGCCGTCAATGTTGTCATAAATTTTGATTTTCCGAAGAACGCCGAGACTTACCTGCACCGAATTGGTCGATCTGGCCGCTTTGGACATCTTGGTCTTGCTATCAACCTTATCAATTGGGAAGACCGGTTCAATCTATATAAGATTGAGCAGGAACTTGGAACTGAGATCCAGCCAATTCCACAAAACATCGACAAGAAGCTTTACGTCTATGACTCACCGGACACAATTCCACGCCCTATTGCCAATCCATCCCAGCCCCAGATTACTGCCCAAGCTGCGAATGCAAACATTGGTGAGCGTCGTCACAACCACCATATGAATGGTGGGCAGTACCAATATGGCAGGGGCCGGGGCTCTTACCGCGGAGGCCGTGGACAAGGCCAGCGTCGCAACATGCAGAACGAAACCAAGTTTGGCACTCAAGGACAGTCGAGCGGCAAGTCCCACCCAACGCAAGTGTCATAGACATAGGATCATGTGCTTCTCTGTCTCTTATCTTTCCACTTTTTACTCATATCTTGCATGTTTCCTTGCCTTTCTATCATATTTCAAGTTCATTGTTCTGTTAGCTTTCTTTTCTCTCCCCCAACCCCCTTTTTCTTTTCTCTTCAACCTCTCCCGGGTCTTTTTTTCGTTTAAAGAGGCCAGGTTGCAAGTGACTACGGTAGCTTGTTCAAGCACTACAAATTCATTCTTTCTGTCATCGTTGCTGCATTCAATTTCCCGATATCATATCAACTATGATCTATGATAACGTTTGAGAAACTGTATTATAACGCATGCTCTCCCTTCTCTCTCCGTTCCGTGTACCTCTTCGGCCGCCTCACTTCCCGCTTCCTACCATCTTATCCTATACCCTACCCCACCCTCTTCTTCACTTCGCCACGCCAAAGCACTATGTACCTGCATTAGACGGTATGCACTTGGTACGGTGAGCACCATTATTGGCCTTCTGGCTTCCTTCCATGTACATAATTCCTTCTGCTCCACACCAGATGTTTCGATTCACGGTTTCGGGGCGTTTCCGGGCTTGAATTTCGACCTTCTTCTCTTGGCGTTTGAAGGTCTCTTTTAACTAACAGGTGGGTATTTACTGATCAATTTCGATAGCCGCACGGCTATCCCGTCATTGCATATGCGTTATACGACTTCAAATCTTTAGGGTGAATGATGCGCCGAGTTGAAATACTCCCGACATGCCTCTGAACCTTGGCTCAGTCATGACTACAACTATTTGCATAATTTGTGGTCTGCGATTTGCATTCGGCGCACTGCGTTAATGGAGTTTGTTATTATTTTGTGGCTTCATACAATAGCCATTGTCGGACCGAGTGATCTGGCCCTTTTCTCACGCGTCGCATCCTCTCGACCAGTCACCTAGCAGTACTTCCACCATCATAAACATCGCAGTTGGCATTTTTCATCACCTGCTGATGGGCGTCTTTGTGAAGTACAGCAGGGGCTCGACGTTCGTTCGGTCTCAAGGCACATGAATTGCTTTGTGTTCGCCGACTACGGACTCAATCTGGCATTTCATATTGTCTCTGGCATCGGTGGCGCGAGTGTGATTAACAGCTGAGAAAGGGGATGGGGGGTAGGCAGGAGAGTTTGTGCGTTGATGTTATGCACAAAGGTGAAACGGGTGGGGATACCACGGATTGAAGTGACAAACCCGAAGGAAAAGAGACGGGAAAAAAGAAAAAACCCCCTTCAAAAAAAGAAAAGAAGTGGAAGAGAAAAGGGCAGAAGCAAAGCACAAAATAAAAGAGAGAGAGAAAGAAAAAGAAAAAAAAAAAATTAAAAACAAATGGGAAAACCCCCAGGGAGTGATTGATGCCGCCGGGTTCTCTCGGTTTTTAGAGCTTACAAACTATGTAGTGCCTAGCGGAATGGAATCTTTAATCCCTGGGAATCAACCAGAATCATCTCGATAAATGTTGAACATACATCCCAAGTTACAATATGGGAAAGAGTGGTGAACGGTACTACGGAGCCCAGTTTAAGCTTAACTGATAATACTTTACTAATTACCTAAGGTCTACCCCACGTAACTGGGTGGGTTGCGGGAGTTGCTCTCGCCGAGCCCCGTATCCCTAGTATGACTCCTAGTGCTGAGCGACCCCCGGCGAATACACAGCAGTCGGCTAACAGACTTCCACACGGGTCCTGCAGCAGATATCCTGGCAATGGCAACCTCCGAGAACGATAAGAGGCCTAAGGTTTGCTGCAATCCTCTTGGTACCCCAACCGTTCAACAACGTGTCTCCCTAACAAACTATTAGCCCAGCAGCCTGCGGTCCATCATCGCAGGCTCTACTGCCGGTGCAATCGAGATCGGTAACCATTCTCTTATGATAAATTAAGATGCTGCTTGCTAATTCAATGGCAGCAATTACCTATCCGGCCGAATGTAAGACCTTTTCAGACCTGGACCTTTCAATTATCGGTTAACACCTGGCGCGCTCAGTTGCGAAAACCCGATCTCAGCTCAATCGCAGACTACCGGACGCAAAGAAACTCCCATGGCCGCCATTTGGGGCACAATGGTACGCTGGGTGCACAACTTTGATTATAGGGAATTCACTCAAGGCAGGAATTCGTGAGTCCATCCTGTTCCACCGAAACGATCTTGTAGCGGTAGAGTCACTTATGCTGAGATCTATCTTCAAAAAGGGTTCGTCGCCTTCGATTGGTTGAAGTCACTTTTGCAGGATGAAAACGGCAAGATTTCTGGACCAAGAACAGTCATCGCCGGTTTCGGCGCAGGATTTACAGAGTCATTGCTAGCCGTTACTCCATTTGAGAGCATCAAAACACAATTGTCCGTTAAGTTCTGACCCTCATCGTACCATCGACTGGGCCATAGCTTCTGCTGCGGATTGTACGAATAGAACTAACTGCGTCTGATGTCAATGAATACTGCAGGATCGATGATCGCAAATCACAAAATCCTCGCATGCGTGGATTCTTACATGGCAGTAAAGTGATCTTTCAGGAGCGGGGTGTTCGCGGTTTCTTTCAAGGCTTCGTCCCTACGACTGCACGACAGGCTGCCAACTCAGCTGTTAGGTTTTCGAGCTACACAATGTTGAAGCAAATGGCCCAGGGTTATGTCGCTCCAGGTGAGAAGTTGGGAACCGCGAGCACTTTCGCTCTGGGAGGCATTGCAGGCCTCATCACTGTGTACGCCTACCTACCCCTCGGGTATTGCTTACCATCATTATACTAACACTCTTGTGTGATAGCTATGTTACGCAACCTCTTGATACTGTCAAGACAAGGTATGTATCTGGCAGGCCGGGGATGCATCAACTTCAAAGTAGCCGTACTCTGACACAACAGCAGGATGCAATCGCTGGAAGCCAGCAAGAACTACAAGAACAGTTTTGTCTGCGCTGCGCGTATTTTCAAGGACGAAGGCATCTTCACCTTCTGGTCTGGTGCTGTCCCACGGCTAGCGAGATTGATTATGAGCGGAGGCATAGTGTTTACGATGTTCGTGCTAAAACACCCATTTCGCTGAGTGTGCATGCGACTAACCCTCTTACAGGTACGAGAAAACCATGGATGCTTTGGATGGTCTCGATCCGGAAAGGCGATACATTTGATGGGGAGCACTTTGGCCAGTAGGTGCGACACATGGTGAGAAACACCATTACTATTCGGAATGCCCGATGCGTGTGAATTTATAGTGTGCCATATGATATGACTGTATCTACATCATGCCTATAAGCGAATAGCTGTCTTTTCGATACCTTGACCCTAACGCGGTTGGGCACTCAGTCCTTCTTTATCTTGGACTGATTCTTCAACAGCCAAGGCCTCTATTTCGCGCTCGACGAGCCATGTCCGTACGCTTTCCATTACGGTTTCTAGGCCCTCGCCACCATCAAGAACACTATCCAGGTTGTGTATGGTGAGGCCGCTGCGATGGTCTGTGCAGCGATTCTGACCGTAATTGTAAGTCCGGATCTTGTCACCGCGTCCCATTCGAGCAACACCGCCCATTGCTCCTCTCCTTAGGTTAACCAATTCCTGTTCTCGGGCTTCTCGTCTTGCTTCAGCAATTCTCGCCCGTAAAACCTGCCAAGCCTTCTTTCGATTGGCATGTTGGGAACGTGAATCTTGCATGGAGACAACGGTTCCCGTTGGTATATGGGTTAACCGAATAGCTGACTCGGTTTTGTTGACGTGCTGACCGCCTGCGCCACCGGCTCGCATCTTTTCTGTGCGAACCTCTTGAGGATCCACATAGTAGTCGCTGTTTGGGTCCTCGAAATTGAGTGAACTATCCAGGCCGCTCCCGGAGTCTGGAAAACTAGGAAGTATCATCACACTAACGGCACTGGTATGTGTGCGGCCCTTCGCCTCGGTGGCGGGAACCCTCTGTACTCTATGGACTCCCGACTCCGTTCTCAGGATGTCATAGGCCCCATCCGCGTCAACTTCCAGGACCGCTTCACTCAATCGGTCTTGCGCAGGGCCGTCTGCAACATCCTGTTTTATGAGGCTATACCTGAGACCACGACGGGAACAGAAGGCGATATACATCCTCAAAACCTCAAAAGCAAAAAGACCAGCCTCGTCACCACCTGCGCCGGGGCGTATTTCGAGCAAACATGGGAGGTCTGCGAATGGGTGGCGAGGTATAAGGGCCTTCTTCAGATTATCCGCTATGGCAGGTAGCGCGACCTTGCTGCTCTCCAGATCTTCAGCTGCAAGCGACCTCAGCTCAGCATCGGTTTCCGGGTCATTAAGCAATGACAAAAGTTCAGATATAGACTGCAATTTGTCAATAAAGCTCAGTACATAAACACATTGGAGAAAAACATACACTATTTGCGTGTTCCCACTCTTTTAAGGTACTTGCGATTGGCGCAAGTTCACCCACTCTTTTGGCAAGTTTCGCATCGAAGACCTCGGCCAAATGAGCGGAGAGTGTGGAATGTTCATGGGTCAGAGAACGAGCGCGTGCTAAGAGGGCTTGTGAAATGCCGGCGGAATCTACATCGGACCATATTAGTTTATTGCTAGACAATGAAGCAGACATAGATATGAAGGTATAACAGACCAGTTTTTAGGCCGCGCCGTTGTAGAAACGGACGGGGATTGGAGCCAATCCTAGCAGCAGACCGCACGAAACATCGAGCGCATATCCAGGGCGCGTTGAACATGTTCTATCGAGCTGTGATTGAATAAACCATGCTCGTTGGACCCGACTCGAGAAAACCAGCTGCTGGAATCTCGGCTAGCTCGAGACTTGGGGCATGCGGAGGTTGTGATATGGCAAGTACGGATACGGGATTAACAGCTCCATACGGGAATCTAACGGGTGGTAATGTTACCGTATGTAATGTTGTCGTAAAGGCCAGACTGGAAGAAGACGGTCATGGATCAAGCTTCCTTTTTCCTTCCCCTTCGACGAAGGACGATATAGTGTCTGTCCTGCCCGCTACTGTTGGCATTGATAATATGTGAAAGTGCTTTCTGACCTTTTCAGGGTCCCTCACGCTCTTTTTAACCTTCAAACCTCTGTCATCCATTTCATACTGACCATACGTCCTCACCTACTATGATACTTGCGCCATAACTTATCCTGCTTCCATCGTCAAAGTCCCATTCCAGGTGTCTCACGGACTAGACGAACATGCACTTGCCTCTGACATCTCTTACGGTCTTTCTGGCCTTTTTTTCCGCTGGTCATGGCCTGCAATCTTCCCAGATTCCCTCTGACACCCCACTATCATCTTTGATCGCTTCTGCGAAAACTCACCTTGCGGGTGGTTCCCCCCGCGAGGCCTTGATGTATTTTGATGCAGCTGTGTCCAGAGATCCCACGAATTATCTTACACTCTTTCAGAGAGGTGCTACCCATCTGTCCCTTGGTAAAAGCTCACTGGCTCTTGAGGACTTCGACCGGGTACTCCAACTGAAGCCAGACTTCGAAAGCGCTCTTCTACAACGGGCACGACTGAGAGCCAGCTCTGCTGACTGGGCAGGTGCGTTGAATGATCTTGATAAGGCTGGTAAGGGGTCCACACCAGAGTATCAAGAACTCCGCGATTCGCGTGATGCTGCGTCTGCCGCGCTGGAAGCGGAAAGTCGCGGAGCCTGGGATGTCTGTGTAAGCCAGGCGAGTGTAGCTTTGTCCAAGGCAACCATGTCTTTGAGCCTGCGGCGGGCTCGGGCACATTGTCGCTTTGAGACTGGTGAAACAGAACAGGGAATCAGCGATCTTCTTCACGTGCTACAAATTCACCCGAGCTCCTTGGAGCCCTATCTACAGATATCATCTACACTTTTCTATGCCTTGGGAGACACAGACCGCGGTATCGCCCAAATACGCAAATGTCTGCATTCTGACCCCGATTCCAAACCGTGCAATCGCCTTTACAGGAGGGAAAGGCAGCTCGTAAAACAGTTGCAAAAACTGGAGGACGCTCTGAATGCGCGAAAACACAATAACGCCATCAATATACTGGTCGGAGTCGGTAGTGAAGGCGGTCTTCTTGATGACGTGCGGAAGGATGCTGCACAGGCGAAGGAGGATGGTAATATCCACCCAAAAGCCCCGAGCAGCCTTTATGCCTCACTCGTCGAACGAACCTGCGACGTTTTCCGAGAGGTTTGTGGGACACCTAAACCCCTGCTGAACATCACCCTTTCCGCGGTACATGACTAAATCTCGTATCGCTTCTAGGCGCAAATGCCCAAGCGGGCTAGTTCCTACTGCTCTGAGGCTTTAACTTTCGATCCTAATTCTTTACCAGCGCTGCTCCTCGAGAGTCAGCAAGCTATTGACGAGGATCGATTTGATGATGCTATACGGTTGCTAAATCAAGCCAAGGAACATCATTCCAGTTCGAGGGAAGTTCAGACCCTGTTGCAGAAGGCCCAAGTTCTACAGAAACGCTCCAAGCAGAAAGACTACTATAAGGTTTTGGGTGTGAGCCGTGATGCGGACGAGAGGACCATCAAGCGTGCTTATCGGCAGCTTACGAAACAGCATCACCCTGATAAGGCCATTTCCCAGGGTGTTACTAAGGAGGAGGCTGAGAAGAAAATGGCCTCAATTAATGAAGCTTACGAGGTACTATCAGATCCTGAATTGCGATCCCGGTACGACAGCGGCGATGACCCCAATGACCCCGAGTCACAAAGGGGCCGGCCTTTTCAGGGGAGTCCGTTTGGGCCAGGCGGACAATTTTTCTTCCAGCAGGGCGGCGGTCAGCAATTCAAGTTTTCGGGTCAGGGCTTCAACTTTCCCGGCGGGTTTCCTTTCCGCTAATGTTGGGGTCCGGACTTCCAACTGCTGGAGGAATATACTGTACTTAAGTCATGCACCTTTTGTTCTTGTTCCAGTCTGTTTCGGGACTGGCAATCATTTTGTGCCTTAGCCATACCCTGGTCTTCTAATACAAGGCAATACTGTGTCTCAAGAAGCGTATTCATAAACATTCTGATGTCTCGCATTCGAGTAGACTGGACCTGGTTGATTTTGTTTCGATACGGATTGGCCTTGTGCTCTTCTCTACGTTCGTTTCATCCTTGCTCATCTTCCTGGGCGGTCTGTTAGGGGAACGTAGCTAACCTGGAACACCTTTTCTTTGCGGACTGAACCATCCTCTCTTTTTTCAACTACCCAGATATACTGTCCTCCCCCCAGCCCAAAGCTAGCCTCATCATCCTCCGCATCAACGGGTATGAACATTCGCCCTGGTGCGCGGAGCTGCTCGATGAGTACGGGGTGAAGGTGATGTGCGGCCGCGCCAACATGGATGGCGTCGTACGGTGCACCTTCTTTCCAGCCCAGGCGACCATCGGCGGTAATGAATTTCACCCTTCCCGAGTCAAGAAAGCTACTCCCCTCTTTTGATTTGCGCATGTTGGTCTGTGCCAGTTCCACCAACTCCGGAATGTGGTCTACACCTATAACCTGGCCATCGGCTTCGCTTGTGGACGAAGGACTCACGACGAGGTTTGCAAGCACGTGGGTGAGGTAACCCGAGCCAGATCCGATGTCTAGCACACGCGAGCCTGGCTTCAGATAGTCGATGAGGTATTCACAGGCATGTCCATGCATGTGGGGAGCAGATATGGTAGCTCCATGCCCGATGGGCTGCGGTGAATCGGAGTATGGCCTTGAGGGCGCATAGTGGGCGCGATCAACCTTGCACTTTGGTCAGAAACTCCATTTTACCCAGAAAGCAGGAATGTTGTCAGGTCGTCCAGTGCCCTTTAAGAGGCAGACATGTGGCTAGGCGTGACAGAATGGGGGCGGGGAGAAGGGGGTGAACCTTTCCCTCCGTTTGGGGTCCGGCGATTGTGTCAAGCAGGGGTAAGCACTGGCCGCAGTGTTTTGACAGTGTGTGAAGTCCAGGGATAGGAGCTACTACTCACGCCTAGCATGGCATTCTTCACTCTTTCATCTTTTATCAGACCCGTCTTAAACAGATTCGCGATGAGCTCGCTATTCGTGGAGCCGGAGCAATACCACGCCATTGATAGGGACCTTTGCAGGAGCTTCTTAGGTAATGAGGATACTCTTATGGGTGTCTTTTTTGGCATGTAGCGTGCGACTGGTTTCTTTTACTTTAATCCGAGACAGCAGGCAGTGCCCGTCGCAAATGCCAATATCGGACCTGGCCTGTAGATGAGATCACTAGGCAAGCAAGTGTTAAGCTGCAGGAACGCTGCTTTTCACAGGAGCCGTTCACATGATGGTCGTAGCCTTATGTAGCTATGACGCCATGCTAACCCGCCTCCGGTCACGTGTATATACCCGGGGTTGAACCCCTTCAGTGTCTGGGAAGAAGAGGCACACTGGGGAGGTAATGTATTATCAATTGCTTTGTACGGGATAGGCGGGCAGGTATGGTATATTGTATCATGCGGTGGAGTATTTAGAATATGGGCCCTTATATGTGGCGGTATTTGTTCACTGGTTGGTGTATCACCATTTCATGGTACAGATGTATGTCTATGCATATGAATATATATAAACTCGGGTATCGAGAGCTACACCCATGCTCGGAGTCCATGTAATACATATTATACACTAAATACACGCGAAAATAAGTAATATGAGTCTAGTCAAGAAACCCGAATCCATAGCTTTTCAAAGCCTAGCAAGCCAAAATCACATAGACAAAATACTCTGTACCATCGGTCTCGACAAGCAAACAACCTAACCACGCAAGGGCCGGGTAACTTGTAGATACTAAGCACTAGCCGCATTGGCTTCATAACGATTAATAAGCAAGCATATTAACCAGGTATTAACCCACAGTACCAACTTAATCAACCAGCCAACCAATAATAACTAGTTAGTTACTAGGAGTAACTGACTACTACTCCGCCAGTTAACCAACTGACCACTCAAAGTGACCTACTTAACTGACTGATCAACCAACAAGGGCCCGGGCCGGTAACCAGCTATCACATCTCCGAAAATTCACAGGACAAAGCATACTCTACTAGACCGGCTCATGGATTGTGACGGGATTTAGAAGCCCACAGTGCGATCAGATGACCAGCAGAATGGCTGGATTGCTAGTTGATTGCACCACCCCACCATGGAATCGCCCACAGCAGATCCGGATACACAGGCTGAGGTAGATCTTATGATACTGGATTACCTCCTGTGCATGGCCATTGACCAAGTCCTGGACTCCGGGAATGGTAAAGTTGAAGATGACACTAGCTGGAGTCTCGATACGATCAACAGTATGGATATTCTTCCGATGCGCCCGATAGTACATAGGTACTGACGTTTAACCCAACAGCCATCAAGACTGCACTCTTACCATCGGACACTCTTTCCAAAGACATGCAGATAAAAACCCAGATACTAGAGCTCGCACAATTGTTCAGTGATGGCAATGGAAAAACAGAGCGAAGCAGAGGTCTTGCTACTGAATTGTCGCAGGAAGACCAGCGCAGGAGTCCAATTACACGATCTGGAAAAAGCACCCCCCAACCATACCAGCCCCATGAAAGCGACAAACTACCCGCCCATGATACCCGGGTTGTCGCCGTTGATAGATCCTTCAATGCGCTAGTCCGATTTGTCACCCTTTGCGGCACTGCGAGAGACAATTTACCAGATGGACACGCTGATATTGCTGCGAAGTTAATAACCGAAGCTGCACTGAACGAGTACCACACTGCGGGTGTTAAGGCGCCAGGCAGGTACAGAGAATGCATTGAACGTGTCACTGCGTGCCTGCGAGAAGCCTCGGATCCGTATGCAGAGCAGGTAAATCTAGCATACCTGAGCACCCTGTTACCATCCATCGACCTTGCATCAGCCGAGTCGGAAGGATCTGGGCAAAAGTCACCACGCGGAGATACTATTACCCGCTCGGTACATCGTTTCCTGACCGACCTCATGAAGACACTAGACCCTCCAATACTCATTCAACTCGAGAGAGGGAAACTTGGAGGACTGAGCCGTGAAGAGACCCAGCAGTTGAAGGACAGGATAGGGCTTTGATAGTAGAGAACGTCTTGGCATGTACGTATATGGTAATCTGAGCCAAGTTGTTGGGATTCCACGACAACCATAGGCAGCAATGAAGCTTAATGAAGTTTGTATTGTAAGCTGATACGCTTGGTTACATCTCCGTACAGGACTGTTATTCTACAATTCGAGAGCGTAAGTGCAAAAATAAGAGGCAAAAGGGAATGATTGATATGTGCCCAAGACCTCCAATACCCAACAGGCTAGTTCAATCAGCGTGAGAAATCTAGCCCAGCAGCATCCGACGGGGGTCTTCGATGTATTCCTTGACCTGCGATAAGCCAGAGTTAGCACACAATCCGGAAGAAAATGCCCAAGAAGAATTATTAACCTTAACCAAGAAAGTTACAGCCTCACGACCATCCAAGAGTCGGTGATCGTAAGTCAGGGCAAGATACATCATCTGTTCAAAGTATTAGCGACCACTACGGCCTTTCCTCCCTTTCTATGATTTCATGCAGAAGTGTGGGGACATACAGGGCGAATTTCAACTTTACCGTTCACAGCCACCGGCTTGTCCTTGATTGCGTGGAGTCCGAGAACAGCTTGAAAAGAATTAGATATACATCCAAACGACACACCAAGATTCAGACCTACCTGTCTGTGGGAGGTTGATAATGGGAGTTCCCATCAGAGAGCCAAAAACTCCGCCCTAAGCGTACTGTTAATACCTAAGCGAACACCTGGTAGACAACAAGTAAGCACTCACATTGCTAATGGTGAAAGAGCCCCCGGCCATGTCCTCGATGGTCAACTTATTATCACGAGCCTAGCAAAAAGCACGTTAGCCACCTTTCATTCAAGCCAGCTTCCAGATAACCTCCAACCTTCTTGCCAAGATCCGCGATGGCCTTCTCAATGCCAACGAGGTCCATGGTCTCTGCATTGCGGACCACTGGCGTCACTAGTCCTTTCTCAGTAGCAACGGCCACGCTGATATCCACGTAATCACGATAAACAATGGTGTCTCCACCATTGGGACCCTCGATGGAGGCATTAACAGCGGGAACGTCTTTCATGGCGAGAACACAGGCGCGAGAGAAGGCACTCATGAATCCAAGTTTGACACCGGTCTTCTTCAATACGTCGTCCTTGTACAGCTTGCGGAACTCCATGAGAGAGGACATGTCAACTTCGTTGAATGTAGTGAGAGAAGCTGCGGTGTTCTGGGACTGCTTCAGACGTTCTGCGATTCTCAATCTCATCCTGTTCATTTTAACCTATCGAGAAAGCAGGAAGATCCAATGTTAGTGGAGGAAAAAAGAAGGTTGATGCAGCCAATCGGCCGGGTACATACCCTCCTTTCTTCGCGACCCCCAACGCTGGGCTTGGCAGGTTCGGAGGCCTGAGGCTTTGTAGCTACCGGCTCTGTTTTCTTTGAGGGACTGGGCTCCGAAGGTGTGGCCTTCTCGGATGAAGACTGGGGTGCTTCGGGTGCCTTCGGTTTCTCAGGTTCGGAAGCCGTGGGCTTGTCAGCAGCAGCTGGCGCGGCCGGCTTTTCATTTGCGTCTTCAGTCTTGGTTTCAGGGGCACCTCCAAGCTCCAACTTGACAAGGTCCTGTCCAACTGTGACGGTGTCTTCCTCGCCCACGAGGAACTCTTTGATGGTACCGGATTCAGGGGCATTAACGGATACATCAATCTACACAAGTGAGTCGCTGATTTATATTTCACAGGGGTATATCCGCTGTAGCGGGAAGCGGCCATCGCCTGGTCTCAGCGCTTACCTTGTCAGTCTCAATGGTTGCGATCTCCTCGTCCCGTTCAACGTAGTCGCCGATCTCTGCCGCCAATATTAGCCCAGTCCATTGATACGTCGAGCGCTGAGACCTCACGTTTGGAGAATTGCTTCAATGTCCCTTCGGTGATCGATTCCGCCATCTGTGGAACCTTGACAACAGTGTCCGCTAACCGGAAACAACAACAGGCATTAGTAAGTAGCGTTTCGAGACAGTGGAAGGAGGATATTACCATAAGTTCGCACCTGAGCAGCCGCGAAGGGAGCGATGCCGAAGCGAGACATTTTGGGTCTATGGCAACAGTTAGTCGTTGATTGCTATTCAACAAACAAGACTTGGTACCACTGACCCCAGAGCCGTAACCTGCTGGAGACCCGCGCTTGACTTGAGAGGACCATTGGCGCTTTTCTGGGAAGCAATGGACATCAAGCTTCTGGCGCGGCCGATGTGGAGGCTGCGGGAAACGCTGGCGTTTCGATGAAGAGTCCTCAGGTGTTGCCCAGAGAGGCGATGAAACGGTAATCGAGAAGCCATAATGACTGGCTTGGGTCCGTCTGGATAATCAGATTAACAAAGATTGTAGAGATGTAGTCGGGAGTTGTGGTAGCACAAAATAGGCCCCGTAAAGAGTGGACGTTGTTGTTGTTGTTAGGCTCTAGTCCTAGTCCTAGGTATGGATATTTCCTGTCGGGAACTGTAGAGTGACGAAACTTATGTCAGTCGAGGGCACTGCAAGCTCAAGCCCGGGCCGAGACAACCGGAATTTCCCTCAACGAGCGCGGCATTCCCTGCGCCCGGCAAATGAACGGAGTATTATTATTACGCTACTGCGGGCGTCGAAAAGCACCAACTTGGTACTTTCGTGACCCGCATAGGATCATTAACGGCTGGGTAACTGAACGAGCTGTAAACTTCGTGCAAAAATCAATATAGACTACAACCAGACGGCCGTGGTTCACAAACACGGCAGACCCGAGAGAAAAGTGTCTTAATACAACTCACGCCTACGGAACGGAACTGCTGCAGAATCAGGATGCCTCTCAACGCTGGCGCGTAGGTTGACCAAAGGAAGAGCGAATAGAAGATATCCTGACTTTGTTGTCCAGTTCACTTTATCGACGGTCCCTGAAACTGGCCCTTGATTGGGCCGTTCACCGCCATATCTGGAGAGGACAAGCTGTGTATATCCGCTCACTTTTCGAAGCCAACAAAGATGTTCGCGATCCCCGTCAGCAGAAGGTAAGTGCTGCTTCTCACTGCATTGAACAACTAGTGTTCATAGAACTGACGGTAAAACGAACAGGTACTGCTTCAAGAGACAGAGAAGCTCCTAGAGACATGGAAACACCCTGACCCTTACCGCGCACCTACGGCCCCGGGTGGTAAGTCTGACCAGAGTGTGCTTTATGAAACGGATATCTTGATCTGACATTTCTATAGGCAGCAAGTACGAGAGAAACATTCCCGCCCCTCAATTGCCCCGTGAGTGAACCAATAATGACCTACTGAATGCATCGAATATTGACGCGGCAATATCTGCTAGTTGCTTCGGACAGCTCGGCACACTGAGTATAACTGCAGCTCCTTTGCGCAGTTATCTTGTATTCCTAGGTCCATAGATGAGAATAAATTGACTACTACATCCATATATCCCGGGGGACCTTTAATTGCTTAAATAACGGGCCACTTTTTTTAAAGGTGAAAACAGCTCAACAGACACCATTTGGTCTTTACTAGGCGAGCGCACTCCTTACACGAGTCTTTACTAGGATAGAAAATTGAATCCGTGAAAATGCTGTCGGTATCATTCCATGCCCGTAGACATAATGTACAACCATAAACTGTGGAAACTAGAAAAAGAAAACGCAGAGCCATAAACGTTCCGACCAGAACCCCGTTATCACATCAATAAGAGAACCAAACCGCGCCGAATCAGAGAACCCAAATTAGAAAGAAATTGTTTACAGCTCCTGGCTTCCCGGGCCCTTTCCACTCTTGGGGGTCTTCTTGGGCAGAAGGTCTGTGTATGGTCAGCACCACATGTTGGGCTTTCAGGTGGAGCTGGAACTTACTCTGGTGGATGTTGGGGAGGACACCACCCTGGGCAATAGTGACGTGACCCAGAAGCTTGTTCAGTTCCTCATCGTTGCGGATGGCGAGCTGAAGGTGACGAGGGATGATACGGGTCTTCTTGTTATCGCGAGCAGCGTTGCCAGCCAATTCAAGGATTTCGGCGGCGAGATACTCAAGGACGGCAGCGAGGTAAACGGGAGCACCTATTGTATGATGTTAGACATATCCTTTGATAGGACACTTTCATGATAAAACGAGTATCACTTACCGGCACCAACACGCTGGGCGTAGTTGCCCTTGCGGAGCAGACGATGGACACGACCAACGGGGAAGGCGAGACCGGCCTTAGACGAGCGGCTGCGATTTCGTGTCAGTTTAATATCTCGAAGAAAACGCGAGATGGACGGGTGGCATACGATTGGGCGTTCTTGCTGCCGCTGGCCTTGCCTCCAGATTTGCCTCCAGTCATTTTGATAGGTGAAATATGAGTTTTTGTGAAGGTGTTTAATTAAGAAGTTGTAGTTAACAAGTGACGATGGCGATAAGCGGGATACGGTGCTAAAGGGTTGACGGCCAACGCGAGGGAGCGGAGGACATATATAACAACGCGATCAGGGTGACGTTGGACTACTCGGGAGCCTTTCAGATCACCCTCTCGCTTAGCGGGGTCAACCAATCACAAATGAGATCATGCTCCGGCGCACCCATAGCTTGGCAAAGAGTCTTTGGTATGATTCCGCGCGTGGTCGCCCCCAATACAGTTAAGCGTGGTAATTAATTATTCTAGTTTCGATACGGTTATATTAGCGTGATCTTAGTCAACTCCCCACAGTGGACGACGCGTTCTCCCTCATCTAATCATACAGATCATACACAAGTGTGACCGTATTGAAATTCTGCTTCTTTTGCGGACTCAGGATCAACTGAGTATTTGCGAGCTAGTATAAGTAGCGCGCCTCCCTCGTCACCGCGTCTCCCTCATTCTTATCCTCATCTTCACTCTATCCTCTGTCGACGCCAACGCAACCACCGTACCTTATACTTTTATCACAACTCTTCATCTTTCATACCTAATCTCAAATCTTTCAATATGCCTCCCAAAGCCGCTGAGAAGAAGCCCAGCACCGGTGGCAAGGCCCCGGCTGGCGGCAAGGCTCCCGCTGAGAAGAAGGAAGCCGGCAAGAAGACTGCTGCCGCTGCCTCCGGCGACAAGAAGAAGCGTGGAAAGACCAGGAAGGAGACCTACTCCTCTTACATCTACAAGGGTGAGTGGTTTTAAGACATCTAGTTTTAGATGATAATTATTGACTTTCGTTCGTAGTCTTGAAGCAGGTCCACCCTGATACCGGTATCTCGACTCGCGCTATGTCCATCCTGAACTCTTTCGTCAATGGTATGTTGTGAAACGAATCGCAGTCCAAATTTCAGCAAATACCTAACGCGTCCTAGATATCTTTGAGCGTGTCGCGACCGAGGCCTCGAAACTTGCTGCTTACAACAAGAAGTCCACCATCTCTTCACGGGAGATCCAGACCTCGTAAGTGCTTTGCAGACCAAAATGGTAGTAAATAACTAATATTTTCTAGTGTGAGGCTCATCCTTCCCGGCGAATTGGCGAAGCACGCGGTGTCCGAAGGCACCAAGGCTGTCACGAAGTACTCGTCGTCTGCCAAATAAGCATTTTCATTTCTTTGTTTTCTTTCTGCAGGATTGTTCTTTTGCTACCTCGTCATCTGTTACGGTTTTGAGGTGGTGGGTTACAGGGTGTTTGCGGGATTCTAATGTGTCATGGGATGGCTTTATTTCTTTTTTCCCCTTGGGCCAAATGTTTATGGTTGCTTTTTTTTGTGACGTGAATGCGGTGTAACATAACTCGGATGTGGGGTTGGTTGCGCGGGTTTACCTTCCTCAACAGAATTCGAATATCAAATTGCCTAGTTGCATGTCTATAAGATTAGAGCGCAGTGGTGCATCGTTTCTAGGCTGGGTACTAATGTTAATCCATCTAAATGTATTGACAGCAAGAGCTATTCGATATCATCCAGCGCTTCAACCTGGTCAAGTGCTTCTGCTTCCTGATCGTGGTCAGGATTCATCTGCTTGAGTACATGGATTATCGGCCGTCCCTTGACGGCTTGTATGCGGTTTAACCAGTCGTCCCAATCTTCCTGGTCTCGGATGAGGAAGCCTATAAGCATGCTTGGATCCATGTCACGCACGTGAATTCTTCTCAAGCGCCGTGTATGATAAGTATCAACCTCCTCTTTTGAGTATAGTTCGCCTCCTTGGCGATCTGGAAGCGCAGGGCGGGTATAATGTGGATCTAGATAGAATAGATGTGACCCTTGGGCTCCAACAAAGTAGTGTGACGCCGACGGGCGTCCCCTAGTGATGACGTCAGCTTTGATGAAGAGAAATAGCTCACAGGTGGGCAATGTACCCTGCAATTCCGACTGATTGAGGGAACTGCAATGTGGCTTTTAGGCCATCCCAATAGACTGGAGTGATATGGTCGATGCCGAGCCTTGTTCCTAGCAGTATCAGGGTAGGCTGAAAGACACCGGAAGAGTTTCGGGCGACATTCATGAACCTGTCCTGGTATACTTCCGATGTATCATTAGAGACATAGACCTTGAGTGTAGGACTTCCACACTGTGCCGAAAGTGCTCTGTGTCGTTGTTCAGTTTACTTCTTTATATCAGTTGCTAGATGCAATGCGGAACATACTCTATGCACTTGGCCGTTGCGGAGGGCCCAAACCATTCCCCTGGGAACTTCCCACACGATTCGGCGCCATGCTTGACGAACCGATGTACGGAGAAGGGGGCAGTTGGTGTGTCGGCGAAAAGAGACAGTAGCTGTGACTCTTCCTCGAACCTCGCTCCACGGCGCCAGTCTGGTCGGATGTTAGCAGTACATTCAGGTCACGCGTGTAAATGATAGTACCACGTCCTAGGACCAACGTAGATAGTGCATTTGCCAGCAGGCTCTGACCGGAGCGTATCATACAGCCCCAGCCAGTATCGGATGTAAATCCTTGCGTATCTACTAATTGGCTTCTTAGGCGTACCCCCAGTGTCATTGATGCACTTTTGTCGTCTCCCTCGACTCTGGGTATCGGGGGGAAATTGGACCTATACGTCATCCAGATTCTTGATTCAAAATCCAACAGGAACGACTCGGGCCACGCATGTTCTGATGGTTTCCGATAGTTGGTCGTTCCCGTCGCGTTATCTCGGGCGCTGTTCTTGTCGGCTGGCACCGGTATCAGTATGATTTGGAACAAATGCGTCTTTTAACAAGACATGAGTAATTATGTTTTGCTTGGGCTTACGTGTCTCACCCCTTGGGCTGGCATCCTTCTCGGGGTGATACTCTATTCCTAGGCACCATATCGAGGAAGTAGGATCTTCATCATTCCTGGGCTCTGGGTCCCAGAGATACTGTACGATGCGTTTGCTGCACCGTCCTATGTCGACTGTATTCATGTCTGCTATCGTTCCGATACTCTAGGTTGCGCTTCCCTGGTCGCACAGACAGAGACGGTAGGGGTTGGTGTCGCAGTACGTCACTAGACAGGTCTGCACTATATATTATCCTCGGCCCGTTGGAGACGGGAAACCTAGACGGCGGGGCTCTGAGGGAGAGACACTAATAGTGCAACGCACTCTCCAAAAGTAATATAATGACAGTTACCAGCGCGGCAGATCACAAGGTTGGTAGCGGCCAAAGAAGAACAGTTAACCACGAAAGGGAGCTTAGTGTGACCAGGAGGGGTCATACAGTATCTATGCATTTAGTTGTAGTCACGGGGCCAGCTAGGGCGGGAGTTGCTACTACAGCTGAAAAAGCTTAGAGAAGGCTATCTATCATAGGCCCTTACATATTCACACCAAAGACTCAGTAAAAATCGGAAAAGTATAGTAACCCTGACCAGTCTTGACATCGTATGTGGGAAAGATACTAGGCCTTACTATCTCTCAGTGAATCAAGGCCACCCAGACCCTCAATGATAAAGCCCGCCTGTGTACCCCACCGGGCACCTTCGCCGCCTGCCATCATTACATAAGTGAAGATATGAGACCGCAGATAACACTGCCAAGAGCGAGGGACTAGATTAAGCTCCGAGGCAGTAAAGGTACCATCTCCAGTCGCTTATCCTCATCCGGTCGACGAAACACCCCTCTGTCTCCCAACCGACAAAAGGATTACAACCATATCCTAGGATAAGGCCAAAGGGAAAAGGCAGTAAGCCAAGCGGAAAGAAAAGGCCTGGAAGATGACACGATCCAAGGCAAAAGTTCGGAACAAGAAGCAGAAATCAGTGGCAGATGATCTTCTAGGTACTGTATCATAGTTGTCACTACTTCACGTTACAGTCACATTACTGACTCTTCTAAGACCTCGGCAAAAATCATCTTACAATGCAGCAAGAAGCGCGCAACACTGAAGGACGCAGCCTATGGCGGACTGGTGCCTCACTACGCCACCAAACAGTCCGTTTTGTGAGCGCCCAGGACATTGACCGGGAGAGTGAAACGCAACCCCCCCAAAGCACAATCGAGATAAGCGCACGCGAAGAGAGTCTGGAAACACGGACGACCCAGGATTGTGATCAAGCAACGGCTACGTCTCTGTCAGAACGCAGGCCGGGGACCGAGGACTCGCCCCTCTGTGTTGAGTTACTTGACGACTTCGAATCCACAGCGATATCGGATTCCATGGAACATCTCTCCAAGAAGTCTCATGACGATTCGAGTGAAGATGAGGTTGTGTTTCGTGGCAGGAGACACCAATATGGGGAAGGCAGATCACACCCGTCGGATACCCGGACGCAGAAAGTTATTGCCGGTAGTCAGCAACCAAGAGCATCCGAGCACAGCAAATTGGTTTTCCTTTCCTCAAATTCTGAGCCCAAATCATTGCCCGCTTCCAAGCCTCCACAGACAGAAACATGCCCACAAGAAATGGACGATAGCCCAAATTACTTCTCGCTTACCAGCGATAAGCGGCGGCGCAAAAAATGGAAAAGAGACGATGATGACATACTCGCCGACTACATAGATAATATTGACACCGAGTACTTGATACCAGGGATACTGGGCAGCTCTCCGCACTCTGTTGAAGCTCAAGAGCCAGACAATGCCGACAAGGTGGTACCAACGTCCGCTACGGGCCTGAACTCCGCAGCTGAGAAGAAACTGCAGCAAAGCGAGGCTTCCGCTCAACGCGATAATCTGACACTGAGCGATGAGCAAGAGTGCGGCGAAAATGAGGTTTTCGAGTGTAAGTGGAAATACTCAAATCTCTTGGTCGTCACGCCTGTGGGCGTTACTAACTGGGCAAAGGTCACTACAATCATTTGGACGAAGAAATCAGTCAAGAGGTATCCGTTAACCGAATTTCTCATACGGATAGCGCCTCGACCTCTTCGTCAGACGGTTCGGACACAGAGGACATAGAAGAAGACAAATCTGAGGTAAGAAACCTAACCATTCCACGTCTGCTAGACATCCACCCCTCGAAAATCGAACCACCCTGAAATATCATTACTGACTTCAAGCAGAACCTGCACGCGGATGGTAACAGCTTCTTTGCGTCTGCGACGGCTTTTGCTGATGCATTGGAATTTGATCCCTACTATGGATTCGATATTATGGACTTCAACCGACCAAGTGTGAAAAAGAAGTCTAAAGGAAAGGGCCGGTCCTTGGACATTAGTCTATCAGATAGTGAACTTGAGTCCGAGTTGGTAAATGCCTGGCAAAACGACAGAGCAAAGAAAAAGGCTAGAAAGCAAAAACGCGAAGAGCTGCGCTCCCAGGGCCTATTAGGCCGGGGCCGCCAAAACCCGTCCTTGAAAGACAAATATTCCAATGGAATCGGCACCGAGGACCTGAGAAGCGAAATTCGACATTTCCTCCTGTCACCAAGGAATAGGTACATATGTTCCCTCCTCGTCAGCGAATCAGACTGCTTCTGGTATATGATATCTGACACTTTTTCTTTGCAGCTTGGCTTTGCCTCCCATGTCGAAGCAACACCGCAAACTGGTCCACGAGTTGGCCAATGTCTTGTCTATGAAATCGCAATCTCGAGGCAAGGGGTCCTCGAGGTTCCCCATCGTAAACAAGACCTCACGGACTCCTGCATATTCATCCAAAACAATATCTCAAATGGACCGTATATTATCAAATGGGCGTGGGCAACGCGGGCTCAAATCCCGCGACTCGAAGCCGAGCAAGCCTAGCAAGTCGCGCCGCGGGCGAACCGATGCAACTGTTTCCTACATGGATGGTGATGTCGTCGGAGGATCGGCACCTGAAATTGGTGCCGAGAATAAGGGCAGGGCTATGCTTGAGAAAATGGGATGGAGCATTGGCACTCCCCTTGGTTCTATGAATAACAAAGGTATTCTTCAGCCTGTTGCACATATTGTGAAGAACTCGAGGGCTGGGTTAGGATAGGTAGCATGTGCAAGCGATAGTCAGAGCAACTTGGTACTCTCAGCTTCCTTTCCTTTCCATTTTCTGTCTTCCTCAACCTACATGCTATGATTGGAGGTCAACTGGTTTGTTAGAGAAATACTTGTAAACATACTATCCGATATAGTGGTATTGAATCTCTGATAATGAAATATGTATATGATATAAGGCCACGATTAGTGCCAGGTGTTGATATATAAGCTCTTGGAAGGCGCAAATTTCCAAGGGAAACCAAAGTAGAATTTCTAAACCCTTTTCTTTCTATGCCGAGTGACCCCTTTCACCTGTGCGTGATCAGACTCTTTTAGATGTGAAAAAAGTTGGGTCCGTGAAGGAAAGGAAGCGCTGCATGTTGTACACTGCGTGCCTAGGGACTGTCCTTTTGCCTGTTCCGCTTTTTTTAAGCGCTTTTGTTTAGCCTTGCCCAATTTCTGAACGGCTGGCTTGGAGGGGTCAAGCTCTAGATGCGTAAAATCTGAAGACAGACTAGCAGCCGCATCTGTCGTATCCTGCGTTGAATCATCGGTCAGTTGGAGTCGACCCTCGACAACCTCTCTTGATGCATAGTCAATTTCACTTTCTGAGTTTTGGTCGATATATCCCCGTAGGCTTTCGTGAGAATCGCGTTGACCATGGCTCTCACCGGCATCGTTTGGTGCTGGTATGTCACCTTCATTATCGTCATTGCCGAGTGTATTGCCTGACGTGGATCTGCATGGTGTGCTGTCGGCATTCGATACACGCATAGCTTGATCATCCGGGACAAATGTCATAGCAGCCTGAGCTTCATACTCTGATGAATCTCCGGCTAGTCCCAGCTGTTTGTTTTCATTCCTCATTTCTTTCTGAAGCTGCTTAATAGCTTTGACGTGCTTTTTGCTTCGCTCGTGTGCCTCAAACTGATTCAAACTCTTGAAGCTTTTGCGGCACACAACACATTCGAAGACTTCCAGTTCTGTCTCAGTACTACTCACTGTCTCGTCATCTTCAAATTCCTCTGACTTTGCCCAGTCTTGCGTGATATGGTCTCGCAGCTTAGCCTGATTCGCTGCCCTTGATTTCGCAGCTTGGGAGGCGGCAGATTGTCGGAGGAATTCCTGGCGCTGTGACTCACTTTGGGTGCTTGTTTTGTATCGCGGGTCGCGCTTTTTGACGAAAGCTACGAGTGATCGAACAGCATCGTTGAATTCACGGATGCCTTCCTCCCTCAGGCGCTTATTTTCCTTCTCCATCAGTCTACGAACACGACGATCGGGAGCTTCTGAGTAACGATGGACATCTTTCCATGCAAACGACTTTTTTGTTGAGAAGCCGCCCCATGCAACGTAGAATGGGCGTACAACTCGTTCGAAATCATCCCCCCGGCACCCAAACGTCGGATAAGAAATGATTTCCACATTCTCCCCACGGCAAGCGATCTCTTCTTCCGCGGCAAGTCGTGAGAAGACCTCACGAAGACCACCGTAGAAGCCATCTGAGGAGTCTGAGAATTCCATCTGTGGACTGAACCTAGAAAAGATCCTATAGATATCGTCTGCAGTAGTCGTGCGCGAACTATGTGGACTGCCAGAGTTGCCAGAACTACCCTGGCTTCCTAGCAAGACATCTCGATGAGTATCGTACCACGAACGCTCCTGAGGGTCTGAAAGCACTTCGTAAGCAGACTGGACCTCTGCAAAAAGCTTTGTAGCAGATTCCACATTTCCATAGTTTCGGTCCGGGTGCAACTCAAGGGCTTTTCTTCTGTACGCCTTTTTGATTCTAAAGGGATTAAGGGGTGTTAGTGGCTTCAGGATACCTTCGCTGCTGATCCCACCACGTCTCTCCTTCGAGGCCCGCATTCAATTCTCCTTCCCCATTCTGCGTGCTCTATTCACAAAAAAAATTCATGCGCAAGGTTTAGAAAAAACTGACAGGCAAGGCAAGCTTACTCCTCTGCAGATGCGTCCCAATTCACCTGTAAAAGTTCGTAATAATCAAGTTTCTTATCAGGTGATCCAGCCGAAGAGCTGGCGTTCTCTTCGCTTGTCGAAGACTGAAATTGCCCCATGAGTCTGACTAAAAAGTCTTCCGTGGTGAGGAGGTGAAGAATGGATTTGGCGCAGGAGTGTCAAGATTGTTTATAAAAGATGGGGTACAGAGCACTGGTACGGCAGAACTCCCCGCTCAGGATCGAGCTCGCTTGGCTCCGATTTGCACCCACCCAGATGGACACAGATGAGCGGCACAAACTTGTGATAGTCTAAGGACAGCCTTTCTTTCGTCTCAATTGTCGTCGTCTATTGCTGTGTCACATGTACCGGAATGGTTCCGTCTCTGGACTATTTCCCCGAAGAGTTACTACATCATATTCTTTGCTACTGCCCACCCCGTTCCGCTGCCGCATTAGAACAGACAGCTCGCCGATTTCGCGGGGTAACAACAAACCCTTTATTATGGCGATATTATTGTCTGAGCCGTTTTAAGCACTGGTCCCGGCAACATGAGTTACCAGCGAAGCTTGCAAGCCCTATTCCTGCGGTAGATTGGAAATCGCTTTACATACTAAAGCATTCAAAATACCGCGCAACCTGTCGTCTTCTGGACAGCATCCTTGCAAATCAAACGGGAAGAATCGAGAAGATTCGAAAAATTATAGGGCTTGGTTATGATGCCAAAGATGCCCTTCTACATAATCTTGAGATTCAATCCAGTGTAGAAGATTACTTGGCAAGGAGGTTTGTTCTGTCTATCCATGAGACGGCATCTCGTTTTAACTATATTTCTCTGAAATAAGATATTATGCCGAGGCGCTCCTCACTTGCCTTCATCGAGGTCTCGCTGTACAAGAATGGGCTAAACTGAGAAATGGCGAGGAGGTGTCTCTATACAGGGCCTTAGGTGCATTCGACCTTTTTAGACCCGAGATCGATTTTGGCAGTTTGGAAGAGGTAAGTGACTCCAGGGCCTGAAGGAACGTTGCTATCTAATACAATTTTAGATCAGCGATAGACTGGACTCGATTGCCTCACTACTTCCTATCAGCTGTCCAGACATCCACCAGCTCACGTCTCGTAATAAAGCCAGGGCAGTGGCGAAGTTCCTGAGGGCAAATAATCTCACCGGAATTGGTGAAGAAAAAGAGTACCATTGCTTGGAGCACAACTTTCTTGGTGTTGCTTTGAATGACCCTCGGCACAATTCACTTCCTCTGATTTCGGCAACTATTTATTGCTACGTTGCTGAACGGTTCGGCCTGAACGCCCGGCCATGCGGCTTCCCTTTCCATGTCCATGTGATTATCCTGCCGCCCATCGGCTATGATATGGACGATAATGTAATTGAAGACGGGACACGCGGCAGCCCAATTTATATGGATCCGTTCCGCTCAGAGAAGGAAACGCCAATCACGGATCTAGAGTATCAACTAAACTTCTTAGGTGTCACTGCGGTCGAGCGAGCGAACTTCTTGGCCGAATCCCACCCTTCAGAAGTCGTCCTTCGGTGCAGCAAAAACATTCTGAACTCGGTCCAACGTATGTCTCGGTTTCCAGATATGCGCCTAACACCAGTGGATGTCGTTTGTGCGAAGTATGCTGCAATTTGGTCCTCTTTGTTGCTTTCGGATCTTGCTCGGCCTACTGACGTCAGACATAATCTGCTATGGCTAATGGAGCTTTTTGCTACGGAGTTCCCATCCGACATCCACTTGATTGAACAGTACGTGGCGCCTCTGCTTCATGGAATGCCCGAGTATGAGCACATTCTGGAAAGTCTCCATGTGATGCGAGCGGCGGACGAAATACCTAAACAGGTTAAGAGGCGCTCTTCTCAGCGGAGGGAAGTAAAATACCGCGTTGGGCAGGTATTTAGACATCGCCGGTATGATTACCGAGCCATCATAACAGGTTGGGACACGGAGTGCGGCGCGGGTGAGCAATGGATGAGAAGGATGGGAATAGATCGCTTGCAAGGTGGTAGGCACCAGAGCTTCTATCATGTGCTGTAAGCTCCTTTACAAGTATCGATCTTATATATAGGGTAAAGCTAACTCCTGCTCCCAAGAGTTGAGGATAAAAGTGTTCGTTATGTGGCCGAGGAGAATATTGAGCTAATGAGTCCCGAGGTCTCAGAATTGCCCTCAACACTCGTGGCAGTGGCGGGAAAGCATTTCAAAAGATGGGATTGGGAAACGAGGACATTTGTTAGTAATATCAGGGATGAATATCCTGAAGACTGATAAAGAATAAGCTTTATCAATTTACTTACTCCCCCTGGCCATATTTCTTACAATTCTATGCAACCCGCAGGTGGAAGCGCTGGGATCCTAATTATGTAAAGCCATACAAATACTGTTGAATTCATAATATTAAATACTATAGATCATCTATATATCCTAAGAATCAGTATTAAAGCTATCCAAAGTGTTGTTTCTAATTTTGCTAGTAATCATAGAATATTATTGCTTGGTAATATATTCCTGATTTTGTATTAGATCTTGAGAGTTTACAAATTTTGTTTTATGATTATTATTATAAGGATGAATATGATGAGACAATATGAATATAATGTTTTTATTACAACCATAGATATGAAGACTATACTTCTGCAAAATATTATTAATAAATATCTAATTCACTACCTGTAAATGGTACAACACTTATAAATTATCTATTAATTTTATGATAAGATTATTAAATTTTATCTAATACTAGCAGTGGCTGAAGTAAACTAGAAAAAAGATTTTGATATATATCTTTTTAATAATAAATTATATAATTCTTAATATAATTCCAGATATTCTTATTTTATATAAACTAATAATAAGATTTATTAACTAAAGTTTTTATCTTTATAATACCCGGATAAATTATTAAAGATTATTAATAAATTTTATTTAATAATTAAATACAGAAATTATTATTATCTAGTATAACTAATTTATTTGTGAGATTATAATAATTTTCTAATAATATCGAATTTCTATCTCCTGCTTTTTCTAAATTTAATAAATTTATAATATTTAATCTACTATAATCAGAGCAGGATTTAGTAATATTAAGAATATAATTTTAATTTTTTTTATTTTTATTTATAATAGTAATTGGGAGTGCTTCTTTTTCTAATTATTTTTATTTAAATAAAATTTAATTATAATAATTTTTTATATTTTTAATATATTATTATAGTACATGAGGATATCTGCTAGAATATTCATTCTTCTTAAATAATAATAAAGTAAAAAATAAAATTATAATAAAAATTTAAGTAATTTATGCCTGCCGGGTATTAAGATATTTATTAATTATAAAATATTTCAGAGACTGGTGGTCAGTATATATATTAAATTATTTTAATTATTATAAATTTTTAAATTTTAATTATTAATATTTTTTATTATACATATTATAATTTTACTCAGCAGGGATCATGATTTTTACAAGAAAAAATTATATTATTAATTATATCTATCTCTAGTCTTATTTCTTATATTAGATTATAAATTATTAAAATAAGAATACTGGTCAGATTTTATTAGATAATATAAATATTTTCTAGTTTTATTTTAATGAATCAAACAGGATCTTGTTCTTTATTAGATAAATTAAAAATAAAATAATTTAATTATAATTTCTAATAAAGCAGTAATATAAATTATAAAATTCTAGAAATAATTATATCTTTATACTATTATAGATACTTTCCATGAGATAATTATTTTTATTTTCTAAGAATGAATTATTATACTGTTCTTTTTAATAATAAATTCTAGGTACTTGATTCGAGTAATATAAAATCTATATTTATGAATTATTATTTAAAATCCTGTTTTTTATAAATATTTTAAGGTTGTCTTAATATAAATCTTATATTCTGCCTTTATTACTATAAAAAAATATCAATATATATTATAATAAAGAAATCTAGATGTCTTATGAATATTTTATTTATTAATTATTAACAGGCTGCTAAATTATTTGAAAATCTAAATAAAATATTATCAGATTCTCTAAGTCAGAATTTACTTAAATTTAATAAAAAATTCATTTAATATTTGATTTACTAAAGATTTATATGATATTTGATTTAATAAAGATTTAGATCTTGCTGATACAGTATATTATTTTATTATTTAAAAAATATTAATCTTTTCATATAATAATATTAAACTTTTAATAATTTATATAAAATATAGTTTTTCTCTAGATTTAGCAGTTATTAAAATCAGAAAAATAAAAAGGACTAAACTTAAATTAATAAAATTTTTATATAGATTTTTTATAATATATTTTTATGATAGGATCTACTTGTCAGGGTAGAAAGCCTGTCAATTAGATAAGGAATCAGCTATTAAATACTATATATTTATTTAGTAGTGACAAAGGTAGCCTATATCTATAAAATAAACTGATTCTTAAGGGATCAGTAACTTATTACAGAAGAATCAGTATTTTATAAATACTAGAAAAATATAGAACTACTATTAATAATTTTATAATTCTTATAACTGTTATAATATATTATTCTGATAACTTTTATTCTAATAACTAGATTATTTTATTATAAATAATATTTTTTTCTGTTAGGACAAGCCACCTGGCTCAGGTTTTAGAGATAATCTTATATATTTCTAATTTAAAATAATAAAAATCTAATAATAAAAAATAAGAGGTTTATAAAATATACAGTACAGGCGGGGTCACATACTGATTTTATATAATTTTATTAATATTTAGTTATATTTATATAGATGGATTTATTATAAAGAAATATAAATAAAAAATTTTTATATTACTTTTTTTTCTTTTTTTCTTCTATCCTATAATTATTGTTTTTTGGTATTCTGCTATTATTTTATTTATTATTTATTATTGTCTTATATGTTTTTATTATTCTTATTTTTATATATTAATTATTTAGTAATCAAGTATCTTTCTATATTTATTTTATAAATAATTTAAGATTATATTGTATTATTTATCTTGATTATTATAATATAAATAATTAAGAGACTAGTCTGTACTATTACTATTATATACTAATAACTAATAAAATATATATTATTCATAAAATAGTAATTAAACTAAGATAGTTATAATATATATATTATTTTAGAACTTGTATCAAACACTTCAAGTTAAATAAAATAAAAAAATAAATTATTTTCAAGATTAACTATATTCTGGATAAGAAAAAGTTAATCTTATATTATTAATATTATAACTAACACGGCGGATATAAAATAATATAAACTTATAAATTTTTTTAATATATTTAAATTAATATAATTAGATTTTAACAGGTATCTTGGAAAATATTATTAAATTAATTAAATTTTTTAAATAATATTATAGCTACTTCTTCTACCAGCCTGAAGATAAAGAAGAAGAAGTTTATATTAATTTTAATAATAATATTATTTATACTATGAATTAATATATAATATATTTAAATAAGATCTTTGTATAAATAATAATTATTTATTACTAATATTATAATTTATTATTAGCTTAGAAAACTGTAAGTAAAAATAGATTTATTCTTTAATTAATATACTGATATTTTATTAATATTATATTACTAATTATAAAGCTTTTCTAATTTATTATTATAAAATTACTAGAATTAATATTAAAAAACTCTTCCTTATGCCTAGTAGTTCTAATTTTATTTTTTTAATATTAATAAAGTAATTATTTTAAATCAGTATTTTGACTGCGGTTAATCTTCAGTTTAAAAATAATAAATTAAATAATATTATTAATTAATTACTTACAGACTTCCCAGTTATTTTAAGTAAATTTTAAAAAAAATTCAAATTTTATTTAAAACTAAACTAATATTAAATTATAATAAAATATAATTATTAATATATATAGACGCCACCTGTCATTTTATAATAATAATTAAATATATTTTTTAATATATTAGCAGAATTTTAAGTATTTTTAATTTATTATTAATACCTAGACCTGCTTTTAATAATTAATTAATAATATTTTATTAAATTTTCTTTAACTATTATAATCTTTGGTATATTTTTTTGAATATTCTTAATATTTTTCTGTATATTTACTATATTTTTATTAAAAATTTATTAATTATATTTACTTAGTTATTCTTTTTATTTAATTAAATAGTAATCCTGATTATTATAATATTAATAATCTTTAACTTTTTTAATTTTTTATTTATTTTTATTATCTAGTTCAGATATCAGTAATAATTTTTTATAATCTTTTTTAATATTTTACAGTTCTAATAGAAAAATATAAAATATATTATAAATTTATCTATATTTCTTAAGTAAATATAACTGATATATCTAAGATCTGATATATTTAAGAATTTAAAAAAATTTTATAAATTTTAAGACTAATTTTCTTAATTTCTTAAGTTATAAATTCTAAGTTAATAATTTAATTAAATCTTTTTCTTTAAAGAAAAATAGCTTTTTATATTTATTATAATATTTTTTTACTTTTCTGTAGCCATTTGCTATATTTTTTATAATTATTTTTTATTTTTTAAATTTTTCTAATTTTATTCTGTACTGCTGGGACCTTTTATTATTAAAAATTAATTTTAATTTTAATATAAAAATCTAGTAAAAAATTATAAAAAATATTATAAAATAACTAGCCTGTAATTATATTATTTATATTATTATAAATAAATTAAATATTTAGAAGAATTAATAATTAGTTAATATTATAATAGCTGGAGTAATATTAGAGATAATATTTAAATATCTAGTTTATCTGTTTTATTTAATTATTAGTTTAAGAATAAAACGCAGTTAAAATTTTTAAAATTATATAATAATTATAAATTAAATTTAACCAGAATTTACTAGTAAAAATTAATTTTTAATCAGATATAATCTTATTCAGAAATCTAAAAATTAATTTAATTTATTTATAAAATAGTTCAGCAAGGTCTGGGGTAATTATTATAAATAAAATAATAAAAAAAAATAATATTTTAAAAATTAATTAATAATAACTAGAATAGTATTAATAATCTTTTTATATTAAATAATAAAAAACAGGCCTGTGATAAAATCTATTATTAATTTAATAAAAAAATAAAATAAAATTAGTAGTAATTTAAGATTACTATATAATTAATACTTTGAAGTAGTAATTTCTTAATATATTAAGTAAATTTAGATATATTTAATTATATTATATTATAATTTATTTTAATAGAACTTCCTGTGTAGCAGTTCTTTTATTT